CCCCGCCCCGACCTCGCATTTGTGCTGCTTCCGCCTTCAGGCCCGTCGCGGCCATAGAGACGGACGGCGCCCCACGCGCACGCGCGAGCAGGCACGCGAGCGACACCGCCCGGGCCGCTGCCGCCACAGGCTGCGCTGGAAAGAGCCCGTCTGAAGAGGAGGGAAACCCTGGCGGTGGCTAGAGGGGAGACACAGGAGCAGCGGGGGCTCCGGACTGTTTTCTGGGAGGGGGCAGGGCCACTGACGGGGAGGGGCCCGGGGATCACTCACTCCGTTGGAGACGTCCCAGCTGAGCATCATCCTGGCCTTCTGCTCAGCCTCCTGGGTCCCGTCCAGCACAAGGCCAAATCCCCCGTTGATCACCTCACCCCTGCGAGAGGCAACAGGTTCCCAGGTCACGCTGGGTCCGACCCTGCGACGGGCAGGCCTGCTTCGGAAGCGCTGTCTGGGGAAACAGCCCCGCAGCCCGGAGCCTGCCAGTGCCTAACGGCCCGAGGGATGCAGGCTGCCGGCTCGTGCCTCCGCGCTCCACCCACAGACCCCAGGCCCCCCTTCCGGGCCCCGACGTGTCGCCTCCGTGGGGGGCGGGGCCACCTCTCCCGTGCCTCCACGTGGCTCTCTTCCTGCCGTCCTTCGCGCTCATCTTCCCGTACTCGCATTCGGGGTCCTGATTACTTGACTTGAGGGCCGAGTTCCTTGATGCCCAGCATTTGTTGGACCACCTCCTCTCCCGGGTTTGATGTGCTCTGGGGTCACTCTAGTCTCAACATCCACGTGTGCCAGTGCCCGTCCTCTCCCGCTGTTTGCTCCGCACTTTTTCCCCATCAGCCACGGAGACTGCGTCCTTCCTGAAGCCCCTGGATCCATCCTCACCCTCCACGTCTTTCTCAAAGACTCCGGCCCAGCTCACATCCCTGACCCTCCAGCCCCTTTCGGTTACACACACAGGAAACACCCTCAATCTTGTCAGCTCCTGCCAGGTTTTACTGCCAGGCTCAGGTCTCAGATCCTCTGGCCCCTCCGGCCTCACCCCCTTCTCTGCCCAGCTGGACCCTCCCGACAACCTCAGCCAGTTCCCACCAAGAGGGTGAGGACCCTCTGCACCATCCCACCCAGGGAGCGGAAGAGGAACTCCTGCGCCCGGGCCTGCGTCCCTGCAGCCGGCCACCCTGTGCCCGCGAGCGGGCTCCCGGCACTTCCCGTGGCCCCTGTGGTGGAGGGGGCTCTGCACGGATTCAAGGTCATCACCACTCGCTTGTCAGAGGCTGGTGCCGGGGATAAGAGGACAAAGCAGGCGGCAGCCACAGTCCTTTGACCAGAGAGGACTTTGGGAGATTAGAACGACATCTTTCGTTTTGGTAGCCCGGAGCCCAGATGGTCAGAGAGCAAAGGTGCTCAGCTCCAGGGGACCTCTGCAAACCCTGCCTGGAGCAGTCCAGGGCCCAGGAAGACAGCAAGAAAGGAGGACCTGTATCCCGGAGCAGTTGCTGGACAGAGAACGGTCCCGTTGAGAAGGACATAAAAGCAGAAACCTATGTCACATGTAACAAGAGTCAGTGCCAGATGGAAGTACTCAACTTATAAGATGAACAAGAGCACGCGACTCAGGAACAAGACCCTGGGAGAGCGCCTCAAAGCAAAACAGGAGAGTCTGTAATTCTGGCCCACCAGCCCGGAAGCCCTGGGTTTCAGGCAGTGATACCGGCCAGGGCTGAAGAGGTTACGCGAACAGGAATCTTCATGCCGGGAACTGTGGCGCCCACCGCGCACATACAATAATGGTTCATGTTCACAGGAGGGGTGCCTCGGCAGGGCGGGGCCTGTCCTGGCTCCTTCACAAGTGACTGCGGGTGGCTTTGCTGGGAACCCCAGGCAGAGTCACATTCTAGGTGCAGCTGCTTCATAGGTGGGACCATCGAGATGATTCGACGAGTGTCTCTGGAGAGACCCGTGCACAGGTCGCGCACCACAGGAGCCTTAGCTGCCGTGACTAATCTCCACCGCTAGCCCGCAGAGCATGCTGCTATCGTGACCATTTGGCCAGGAGAAACAAGCTCCTTGGGGATCCCCGTGCACAGCCGGGTTCGAGATATGCTCTAGTGAGGAAACAGCCTCAGTATCCAGATACAGACGGTGCATTTATTCCTCACAGATGTGAGGCCCCGGGGATGGACCGGGTGCGAGGACAGAAGGCGGGGACACAGGGACTGAGGGGAAAGCCCAGCACCAGAGGTGAGGCCCGGACCCTCCCTGGAGGGCTGGAACCACACAGGCTCTACGCAGCCGTCCCACCCGCCGAGACCAGGGACTGACTGCCGACTCTCCCGCTCTGCGCCCTGTCTAAAAGGAGCAGATGGCAGGGACCGCGGGCAGGCAGCACAGGACAGACCCCAGCACACAGTCAGCGCAGACTGGGCAGAGCAGGGGCCGCAGAGCGACCCAGCGCCGACACTGACCAGCTCAGAAACGGTAAAGCAAACTGAGAGGTATCAGGGTGGCTTATGGCTTAGAAACTTGCTTTTCCATACAGGAAAGCAAAAGCTATAGCTGGAGACGGAAGGAAGAACAGGCGTGGGACAGATTTTTCCCGCTGATTTTCACAGGAAGGTTTGCGGCAGTATCTGGTGGATTAAATCATGCACGTGTGTGTCTGATGGATTCCTGGTGAATCTGAGGCACTTTCCAAAGGAGCCCTCGAGGGCAGCCACGACCGAGGGCCTCGGTGCCAGCGCCTCTCCGGTCGTGCCCCGTCAGAGCCTAGGGGGCAGCCTGGCGGCGAGAGGGGACCCCGCTCTGGGAGCCCCGTGCAGGGTCAGCAGCGAGCAGTGTCCCAAGGCCTCGCGTCCTGTCTTCTGCGGTCCTGTCACCAATGTCGCGAGTCCAGGGACAACAGATCTGAGTCCAGATCTGGCCCCACCAGCGCCTCCGGCCCCCTCAGAGCTGCTCTTGTACCCGCAGCATGACTCAGCAAACCCGGCGCCAAAAACGCCAGGCGCTCCCTCCCGTCCTGGTTTGCTGCATCCTGTGTCTCTGAAAGGACATGCGATCCGATCACATTTTCCATTCCTGAGAGCCACCTGACTGGGCTGCAGCTTGGAATTCTGGCCTCGAAGGGCCCAAGGCCAAGCCAGCCCCCGGGGACGCTCTGGAAGCTGCAGCGTGAAGGACTTGGCTCTGGAGGGCAAGTCCAGGCTTGGCCAAACAGGCTCAGAGGTCAGCTCAGAGGTGGCCGGGCCTGGGCAGCTGTCTTCTTCTGCGGGGCCACGGCGCCCCCTGCTGCTCTGAGGAGCCAGCAATCCCGCGCGACCAGAGCTCCCCAGGCGACCTCCCCCCCCACCCCCCGCCCGCCCAGAGGCCGCGCGCACAGGTGTAGCCCCAGCTGCCTGCTGCCTCAGTTTCCGCATCTGTAGATGCATTTCTTTTCCAAGAGTAGGTGAGAGAGGGGATTCAAATGCTTGCCATGCGGTCCACTTGCAATAAACATTAGTTATTCATCGTTCTTAGCAGCAAATATGACATCATGGCTTATAACAAGAAAGATGTATTTGGTCTTTGCCCACTGTTCCTGGCACAGAGCTCCCAAAACCCTTGGAATTTCCTCTGCTGAGAGGGATGAAGGTGTCTTTCCTTACGTTGATGAGCTGACTCTGGGAAACCCCCCAAGGATGGGGCTGGATGCCAGTGGAGCCACCGTGGGATCAGAGGCCTGGAACGTGGGTCCCAGCCCCTGACCTTCCGGCAGGGCAGGGGGGCTGGAGGCGGAATCAGTCACCAGTGGCCGTGATGTAGTCAGTCACGGCCGCGTAAGGAACGCTCCATAGAAACCCCGAAGGAGCGGGTTCAGAGAGCGCCCAGGCTGGGAAGGCGTGGAGGCTGGGGAGCCAGAACGCTTCCACGTGCTGCCGTGCCCGGCCCCAGCCCCACAGGGTCCCTTTGGGTCCTCAACTCGTGTATCTCCTCATCCGGCTACGGATTCACATCCTTTGATATCTTTTGTAATAAATCAGAAATCCAGTGAATAAATGGGTTCCCTGCGTTCTGTGAGCTGCTCTAGCAAACCAGTGGAACCCGAGGAAGTGGCTGCAGGGACCCCTGATCTGCAGCCGGTGGGTCGGAAGCACGGGTAATATTGTGGACATGTGACTGGAGTCGGGGGTGGGGTGGGGGACAGCCCTATGGAACTGAGCCCTCAGCCATGGGATCTGACGTTATCTCTGTGCTGACAGTGTTGGAACTGAGTGGAACTGCAGGATACGCAGCTGGTGTCAGAAAACCCCCTCGGGTTGGAACTGGGTGCAGAATTATAGGGACGTCCCCACGAGGGAACTGCATCTGTTGCCCAGAAGGGAGCCTCCCAGAAGCCCTAGCTCCCTCGCGGCATGGGCGGGAAACAGGCCTGGCTGGGCAGAGAGGGGCCAGGACCCAGGTCCCCGCCTCCCAGCCCAGCCCCTGGCGGAGTGAAAGGACGGGGCCAGGAGAGTGCTGAGCATTCCCTGGAAAACATCTGTGAAAGCAGCATGAAAACGACAGGAAAGGATGATTTACGGCGTCCACGGCAGGCCCTGGTGTCCCGTGCGACGGGTGAGCCCCCAAAGGTGGGGTGTTGGGCAAGGCCCCCATTTCCAGCTCACATGAGGAGCCCTCGGTAGCGGGAGCTCCAGGAAGCAGGCCCAGGACCCTGGAGGAGACCCCCGAGCCTTCCACAGGGGCCCCAGCTGCACCACCGGCCCTCAGAAACCTCCTTACCAGCCGACACCCCCGCCGTTGTGCAGGGCAACCCAGGTGGCTCCCCGGAATGCACCTCCCACGAAGTTCTGCACGGCCATGTCTGTGGAAACAGAGCCCCGTCAGCCCCCGAGGAAGGCAGCCAGGCCGGGCCAAGGTCTGAGGGACGGATGGGAACAAGGCAGGGCAACTGCAGGAACAGCAGAAATTTGTATTTTCAGAGCCAAGCAAAGCAGGACAATGAACAAGTGCCCGACGAGCACTGTCGCCCCCGGCTGTCTTCTCTCCGGCACCAAGCGCCAGGTACAGCGCCCCAGAAGCACGAAGGACAAAGGAATTCAAAGGGATGTGGTGGCAGTTTTAGCTCAGATGACAAAGAGTGTCAGTCCCACCCTTAGAGCAAACACGCTAAAGTTTGGGGGGCAAGCTGCAAATTACCTACTGTCCTTGGCCCATCAGAGGCCCGAGGTCCCAGGGCGGCCAACTAACCAGAACTCTGTGGGGAGGCAGGCACCTGCACAGAAATGGAACCCGTGCCTCACTCGTGTCTAAGGACTCGCTGAACGACAAGCCTGAGCTTGCCTGAGACTGAGGCCCCTGGGGACACGGACGGAAGGGGTCGGCACCTTCTGGCAGAGGCTCTTCCTCCAAACCCCTGCTTGTGCCCACAGAGAAGAGGAGGGGGTCCTGGGAATACTTTCCTCCTAGTGCAGGGCTACGAGATGCAAGAAAAGCAGCTCTAGGACCTGGAAAAGGCCAGGGAGCAGATCCTCCCCTGCAGCCTCCTGAGACGTCACAGCCCTGCCTGCACCTCGACTTAGGCCCCGAGAAACTGACTTCAGACCTTAGACCTTCAGAACTGTGAGGGAGCACATGTGTGCTGCTTCCAGCCTCTAAGTTTGTGGTATGTTGTTACCGTGGCCAAAGGATACGAATGTAAACCACATTAATATCAGAGAACTTCAGAGCCAGCAGTATTATCAGGGATAAACAGGGACATCACACGATGATAGAGGTCAATTCTCCAAGAAGAGACAGTAAACCTAAACAAGGGCACACGTAACAACACTACTCTAAAACACACGTGGCAGGGCTTCCCTGGTGGCGCGGTGGTTGAGAGCCCGCCTGCCGATGCAGGGGACGCGGGTTCGTGCCCAGGTCCGGGAGGATCCCACATGCCGCAGAGCGGCTGGGCCCGTGAGCCATGGCCACTGGGCCTGCGCGTCCGGAGCCTGTGCTCCGCAACGGGAGAGGCCACCACAGTGAGAGGCCCGCGTACCGCAAGAAAAAAAAAAAAGTAAAAAGACAACTTAGACACCAAAAGAAACTTACCACATATATAAATACCACTGCGATAGCATTAAAACAAAACCAAACCTGAAATTCAAGGGAAAAACTTTTTCACGAAAGAAGAAATTATCAAGTCTATAAAAAGATATTCAGGGCTTCCCTGGTGGCGCAGTGGTTGAGAGCCCGCCTGCCGATGCGGGGGACACGGGTTCGTGCCCCGGTCCGGGAGGATCCCACATGCCACAGAGTGGCTGGGCCCGTGAGCCATGGCCACTGAGCCTGCGCGTCCGGAGCCTGTGCTCCACAACGGGAGAGGCCGCAACAGTGAGAGGCCCGCGTACCGCAAAAAAAAAAACCCAAAAAACTTAAAAACCACACATGGCAAAGTGGATGAGAACTGGAAAGAGAACAGAAAAATCCACAAACACAGCCGGGAACTTCATCACCCGTCTGTCAGTAACTTTTGGAACAAGTCAGCAGAGAGTCAGTAAGGGTCTAGACAACAGCAACAGCGTCACCGACTGACTGCACCTAGTTGACATTTAAAGAACAAAAGCCCCCAAGTAACCGCAGGCGACACCTTCTTCCCACGTGCACCGAGATGGACCAATACAACCCTTGACAAATTTAAAAGAACAGAATGAGTACAGAGTAAGCGCTCAGACTATGATGGAATTAAATCAAAAGTCAGTAACAGAACGATATCAGAAAAATCTCCCCAAACTTGAAAGTTGAAAAAGATAGCTTCTCAATAACTCATGGGTCCAAGGGAATGTCTCAAAGGAAATTTAAAATAGTTTGAACTGAATGATAATAAAAATATATTATGTAAAAATTTGCGGCATGCAGCTAAAGCAGTGTTTTGAGGGAAATTCAAATTCACTTTTATTAGAAAAGAAAAAAGGTTTAAAATCAGTAACCTCAGCTTCCACCTCAAGAAACCAGAGAAAGAAGACGAAATTAAACCCGAAGTAAACAGGAAAAAGGTCATACTAAAGATTAGAGTAGAAATCCATGAATCTGGAAGCAGAAAAGCAATTTAAAACGTCGTTTAAACTAAAAGCTTCTTGAGAATCTCAATAAAAATGATAAACTTCTAGCCAGACTGATAAAGGAAAAAGAAAGCAGACACAGGGACTTCCCCAGCGGTCCAGTGGTTGGGGCTCCATGCATCCACTGCAGGGGGCATGGGTTCAATCCCTGGTCGGGGAACTAAGATCCCTCAAGCCCCACAGCAGCCAAAGAAAAGAAAGAAAGAAAGAAAGAAGCCACAAATGACCAACATCAGGAATGACAGAGTGGACCCCACAGACATGAAAAAGATAATGAAGCAATATGATTCTATACGCATAAATTCCATAACTTAGACGAAGTGGACCAAATCCCTCAAAACAAAGTGATGTGCATGGTGTTCCTGACCGTCCACCTCCTTCCCTTGGGATCCCGTCCATAATGGGAGGAGCTGCAGGTGCTGGGAACCAGAAGGCTCCCCAGGACCGGAACGCAGAAGCTCTGGGGCGACAGTAACAATCACGGTGGCTGCAGCAGTCCCTCCCCGAACGCGGCCCAGGTGCACCCGCGTCTCGGGCATCCACCTAGCTGGGCCACCTGGCACCCGCCCTGGTTTACAACTGAGCCCGCATCCCAGGACCCCTCCCTCTGTCCTGGGCTGGTCACCCCGTGCCATGCCTCTCAGAGGCCAGCACCTTTTCTGCAACACCACAACTGACTGAAAGAATCACCTGATTGTTAAATAAAATCCGACAGAGAAAAGGTTTAAGTTCGTTGTGCTCCTCACCCGCACAGAAGGCAGAGCCGTCACAAATGTTGGAGGTCTCCCTGAATGGGCTGTCTGTGCCGCTTACGTCGTGGTGGTCTCGGCTCAGGACCACCGGTGCCTGCAGTGTGGGAGGACACGAGAGGTCAGCTACCAGTGTCCACTGCCCAGCACAGGGCAGACATCAAGGGACAGGGCACACCCGATGCCCTTCAGATTTCCCTGAAAGCAGACCTTTGGCGGGAGGAAGCACAGGGTTTCTGTTGCCCCCGTGGCTGCTCAGAGATGCACTTTCCAGCCGCCCCGAGCCCCGTGTGCTCTCCAGGTGCTGGGTCCGAGTCTCCTCAACCCCACCCACACTGTCACCACACCACTTTATAGAGGAAAACTGAGGCCCGGAGAGGACAGGACACCTCCCCGATGCCACAGGGCTGTAAAGGACAGCCTGGTGTTTCGACGGCACTAGAGGTACCGGGACTTCACGGCTTCAGTGTCCGAGGAGCTGCCCTGCCCTTGAACAGGCCAAGTATGCTCCCCCTCTTCACCTCTGCCATGAACCACCTGTGCAGTATTCTGGCACCTTCTGGATACTCAGGCCTCTGCTCTGCGTCTGCAAGGCAGCAGGCCATCCTGACCCCTGTCGCCCCACATGTCACCTCATTCACTTTATTCACAGAGCCCGGTACCACTGAGATCCCCTGAACTGATACCTTTGCCTGCATGTCCAAGTGTCCCTCCACCAGCACCAGGCAGGACCCTGTCTACCTTGTCCTCTGCACAGCAGTGTTGCAGCAAGGCTGGCACCAGGGGGCGCTTGGGAAGGAGTGGGGGGGAGGGAAGGAGAGACAGGGGAGGAGGGAAGGGAGGGGGGAG